TGTTATTCTTGTATACTTGTAATCTTGTTCTAAGAGAAAAGAAAGAATAGCAGTTTAATAACCAATCCTTGTTGTTCCTTGTTATTTTACCTTGTCTTCTTTGTTAACCCTAACCCTTGTGTGTTTCTTGATCAATAAGAAACTGTTTATACTTTGTTTAAAGGCATCCTATTCACAACAAATTGGTGCGGTGAGCGTGGAGAAGATGCCTTCAACAAAGTATGAGATTGAAAAGTTCACCGGAGTGAACGACTTCGGTCTGTGGCGCTTGAAGATGAAAGCCCTATTGGTTCAGCAGGGTTGTTTGGAAGCGTTGAAGGTTGAGGCAGCCATGGACGCTGCGTTAACGACAAAAGAAAAGACGGGCATGATCGAGAAAGCCCACAGCGCAATATTATTGAGCCTTGGTGATAAGGTTCTTCGACAGGTATCAAAGGAGACTACAGCATCAGGATTATGGGTGAAACTTGAAAGTTTGTACATGACCAAATCTCTGGTGAATCGACTATACCTGAAGCAAGCTTTATATTCATTCAAGATGAGTGAAGACAAAGTGTTGGCTGAGCAGTTGGATATGTTCAACAAGCTGATTCTTGATCTTGAAAATATTGATGTGAAGATCGATGATGAAGATCAAGCACTATTGCTGCTGTGTGCTTTGCCCAGAACACATGCTCACTTCAAAGAAACTCTCTTGTATGGAAGGGAGTCCCTGACCTTTGAAGAAGTTCAATCAGCCTTGTATTCTAAGGACTTGAACGAACGAAAGGAGCATAAACCTTCGACGGTGGGCGAAGGTTTGACTGTTAAGGGAAAATTCTTGCGAAAGGATGGTAAGTTCGACAAGAAAAAAGGTAAAAGTCAACAGAAGTCTTATAGTGGCGAAACATCTAGTATTCGATGTTACCACTGTAAGAAGGAGGGTCACATAAGAAAGCTGTGCCCTGAACGCCTGAAAGATCATGGAGGTAATGGCAATGCAGCCATTGTTCAAGATGACTTCGACTCATCTGATGTTCTTGTGGTTTCAAGTGGCGACTCGAGGAAAGAGTGGATTATGGATTCAGGTTGCACTTGGCACATGACTCTAAACAGAGAATTGTTCGAGGAGCTATGTGATCAAGATGGTGGATCTGTGCTGTTAGGAAACAACAAATCTTGCAAAATTGCAGGTATTGGATCTGTGAGATTCAAGCTCCATGATGAGTCAATAAGGTTATTGACTGAAGTCAGGTACGTACCTGACTTGAAGAGAAATTTGATTTCTCTTGGTGAATTCGACAGAAAAAGATATGTTTTTCAAGGAGAGAAAAGTATCCTAAGAGTCATGAAGGGGTCGAAGGAAGTCTTGAGAGGCGTGAAGAAACAAGGCTTGTATACCCTTGAGGCTGAGGTTGTAAGTGGTTCGACAAATGTTGCATCCACGAAATCTATGTCGAAGACAGAATTATGGCACATGAGATTGGGCCATGTCAGCGAAAGAGGCCTGGTCGAATTGGGGAAGCAGAACCTGCTAGGAGGTGACAAAGTTGAAAAGTTGGAATTTTGTGAATCTTGTGTAGTTGGTAAATCCTGTAGGGCAAAGTTTAACAAAGGCAATCAAAGAACACATGGATCCCTGGATTACATTCATGCTGATCTTTGGGGGCCTGCAAGGAATCCTTCACACTCAGGTGCAAGGTACTTTCTATCCATCGTTGATGACTATTCCAGAAAACTATGGGTATTCATTCAGAAGACGAAGGATAAAACTTTTGAGAATTTCAAAAGTTGAAAGATTCTAGTCGAAACTCAGACTGGCAGAAAGGTTAAGAGGTTGAGAACCGACAATGGCCTTGAATTCTGCAACGAAGCTTTCGACAGTTACTGTGTTGGGTCTGGGATTGCAAGGCATAAGACTGTAGCAGGTACTCCTCAACAAAATGGCTTAGCTGAGAGATTCAATCGAACAATCCTTGAAAGGGTTAGATGCATGTTGGTTAGTGCTGGATTGAAGAAGGTGTTTTGGGCGGAAGCTGTTTCGACAGCAGCTTACCTGATAAATAGATGTCCCTCGACTGCCTTGGGAATGAAGACACCTGAAGAAGTTTGGTCGGAACATCCACCTAGTCTCGACAGACTTAGAGTATTTGGCTGTGTGGCCTATGCTCATATTAGGCAAGACAAGGTCGAACCTAGAGCTCTGAAATGCATGTTCATGGGATACCCTGAAGGAGTCAAAGCTTATAGGCTATGGTGCCTAGAGCCAGGTCACAGGAGGTGTATCACCAGTCGAGATGTAGTTTTCAACGAAGCAGAGATGGCTTTCAAGAAAACTGATGATGCTGACGAAGAGCTGGAACAGGGAGAGATTCCTGTTGAGGTGAAGCATGTTGATGCTGAATTGCTTACCCCAGATGAAGTCGAAGAAGACACAGAAGACGTTGTCGAAGATGAGGAGACTGATAATGACTATCTGCTAGCAAGAGACAGGTCGAGGAGTGTCATCAAGCCACCTCAGAGATTTGGGTATGCAGATCTTATAGCTTATGCCTTAATCTCTGCAAGTGAAGTTCTAGACGAAGAACCTAGAGACTATAAGGAAGTTATGAGGAATCAAAAGAAGACAAATTGGTCTTTGATGTATGCTATGGTCTGTACTAGACCCGACATAGCATATGCAGTAAGTCTTGTAAGCAGGTACATGGCGAATCCTGGAAAGGCTCACTGGCAAGCATTGAAGTGGATTTTAAGGTACATAAATGGGTCTCTGAATAGAGTCCTAATTTATGGTGGATCCTTGGGTGAAGATAGTAAAGCAGTAATCGAAGGATATGTCGACTCTGATTATGCAGGTTGTATGGATTCTAGAAAATCTATCTCCGGATATGTGTTCACTATGTTTGGGACATCAATCAGTTGGAAAGCAACACTTCAGAAGGTCGTTGCCCTATCAACCACTGAAGCGGAGTATATTGCCCTAACTGAAGCTGTGAAGGAAGCATTGTGGCTTGAAGGTTTTGCAAAGGAGCTAAAACTTCAAGGTCGAGTTATCACTGTTAAATGTGATAGTCAAAGTGCAATACACCTGTCGAAGAATTCAGCCTATCATGAGCGAACCAAGCACATTGATGTGAGTCTGCATTTCATCAGAGTGGTAATCGAGCGTGGAGAAGTCCAAGTGCTGAAAGTTTCGACAGATCATAATGCTGCTGATATGATCACCAAGACATTGCCCAGTTGCAAGTTTTTCCACTGTATGCAGTTAATAAATCTGCATGAAGAAAGCTAGTTTCTTGATGTTATAGAGTTAGATCCAAGGTGGAGATTTGTGAGACATTGGATCGAACTCTAGTGTGGTCGAAGTCTGTTCGCAAGTAATTCGTGTTGTAGTCGAAGTTTGTTCTAACATGCATGAGTAAATATTGCTAAGGTTATTAGCATGAGTAAATATTACTAAGGTTGTTAGCATGAGTAAATATTGCTAAGGTTGTTAGCATGAGTAAATATTGCTAGGGTTGTTAGCATGTTGAATTGGGTCTTGCTTGTAAGCTCAATTGTTTAAGTTAGCTTTTACCCTAAGTTAGCTTGTAATGGGTAATTGTTAAAAAAACCCATTATGTTAGTGTCCTATTTTATTATAAATAGGATGCTAGTTTCTAAATCTTGGCATAAGGAAAAATAGGAAGATAAAATCCTAATTTCAAGGGAGAGAGGTTATTTTGTTATTCTTGTATACTTGTAATCTTGTTCTAAGAGAAAGGAAAGAATAGCAGTTTAATAACCAATCCTTGTTGTTCCTTGTTATTTTACCTTATCTTCTTTGTTAACCCTAACCCTTGTGTGTTTCTTGATCAATAAGAAACTGTTTATACTTTGTTTAAAGGCATCCTATTCACAACATATATATATATATATATATATATATATATATATATATATATATATATATATATATATATATATATATATATATATATATATATATATATATATATATATATATATATATATATATATATATATATATATGTTTTATAAATAAGGAAAACTTAAACGCAGTTTTATAGTAGCTTTGGTTGAAAATAGGTAAAGAATCAATCTGAATTACTTGTAAGGCCAACCCCTCAGCTTGATGTATTTATAATGAAAAAATTACAATCAAGATCCCTTAATTATAACTGTGAACATGCAAGATTAAAGTGAAACTCCATTGATAAACATGAAATGAAGTTTTTGGAGAAGAAGAAAGTGAAATTTGCATGTGTAAAGGGAAAATATTATTGCTCAATCTTATCTTGATACAATCACGATACAAGTATATATAGATAGGTAATGATTAAGGCTAGTAACTAACTATCCATAACAACTTGTAACTAACTTCTAAAGTTAGTTATCATGAGCTAAAAGTGGTTATTATATGTCATCATGTTTAGTGCATGGACTATCATCTACATCATCATTCACAATAACGATAAGCACAAGAGCCTATATCTATCAAGTTAGTTGAAATAAATATCTATATAATAGGAATAAAGGAAAGTAAACCAGGGTCATATATCATCACTCTCCCTCAATTTGGTGTATATATTATATGCGTCACATTTGATACATATATAAGATATTCGCAGGCCTCTAAAAGGTTTGGTATGATATTCATTAGTGAAATCCTGTCAAAATTGCCATGTGCTTAAGCCAGATAGATGCCAAATGGCTAATCTTACAACAAACCAAGTTACTTGCCAAAGAAGCCTTCTCAAAAATATTGAGAATTTCGAGCAAACCAAATGCACAAATTGCAGTATAGATTTTCCATTGCCACCCAACAATGTTTCTTCATTTCTACCAAAAACTAGTTTCCCCAATCTGTGTATTTTTTTTATTTTTAAAATTTTCCCTGTGTTTACATAACAATATCACTATTATATAAGCATGAATTTGTTTTACTACTTAGTTGCTCTTTAGTTGACAAAACAGCTTCTGCTTTATGCTAATTCTAATATTTTTGTTTTATGTTACAGCAAACAGATTTCAGTCCCGGTTCGGGTGCAAGGTCTTGAGAATATAAGACTTATAGCAGCAGGCGCATTTCATAATTTGGCTCTCCAAGAGGATGGAACTTTGTGGGCATGGGGTAATAATGAATATGGACAACTTGGAACTGGAGATACACAACCAAGATCACAACCTATTCCCGTGCAAGGCCTTGCTGGTCTTAATTTGGTTTGTATCTCATTTTTCAAACTCATGTCTTTGATTTCCAATTCATTTTGTGAATATGCATAACAAAATGGATTTAATTCATATACACTTTTAGTGCAAACTTTTGTTACAATGTCAATCAATTGTAACTATCATATTATTAAAAGTGTTTGACTAATTATAACTACTTCTGAAGTCACATATGATTACTGTGATTTATTGACACTAAAACATTTTACTCTATCAGTGTATCAAAATTAAACTCAATATATATTTTGTTGTGTACAACAACCACCGACGCTTTTATCCACTAGATAGGGTTAGCTACATTTCATGGATCACACAATGAATTAATGTTGTCATAAATACTGTCTATTGGCATTACATTTAAATTCAATCCTTTGTATTGGTCTGCTGTACAACAACCACTGACGCTTTTATCCACTAGGTAGGGTTAGCTACATTTCATGGATCACACAATGAATTAATGTTGTCATAAATACTGTCTATTCGCATTACATTTAAATTCAATCCTTTGTATTGGTCTGCTGTGTATAAACTGATTCTTTTGGGATTAGATTCAGACATATTTAACATTAATGTTTCACAATGTTCCTACTCAAAGCTTCGTGTCATTGTTAATACCTAAAACAGGATTGCCAATCTGGTTATATAGGTTTTCAGACGCAACCCCCCATCATTACACAGATCCTTACACTGCGTCTCTGTCCTTAATATCATCATGAACTATAGGATGAATCAAGCGGCTAAGCCAGCTAACCCAATTTTCCTTGTGGTTGCTTCAGTGTTGTCAATCTCGAATTGCAGAAAATAACAATTAGTTCAAATTTCAGTCTGCTATATAATGCTTTAGCGACACCACTATAGCTGCTATTTAACAACACTTTGTACTAAGTAGCATATCACAAGACCACAGTAACCTATTTAATTCTGCTATGATCCACTGCCACAATAGCCGCTATTTGACACACTGAATTGTGTGGATGCTGCTTGAATAATGTGTTGAAACTATAGGTATTTTAGAAAAGGAAGCAGGAACAAAAAGATACTTAGAATTATGGAATTTTATTAGTATTGGCATGAATTACATGTTACAGAAGATACATTAGATCTATGTTTTTGTTGTTGTTCATTCATTCATATATAAAATAGATTGTCTCATTTATTTTCTTTATCTGTTTGAAACTATAGGTAGGTATTGCAGCTGGTGGATGGCACTCTACTGCATTAACAGATGAAGGAGAGGTGCTCTTTCTGTTTCTCTGGATTCTATTATGTTTAAATTTTACTTTCAAGAAATCTATGTCAAATATTGAAGCGCGTGTTTGACAATTTTTTATCATCCATTCAAAGTTTTGCGTTCCTATTTATTCTTGTGAAACTGATATCTTGCAGTGGTTGGTGCTAGTGTACAGTTGTAAAACCTGAAGTATCGAGTTTGATTCCTACTATCAAAAATAAAAGTAAAAAAAATCAGAAAATTGAGTTTCAAAGATTTTAGTGGTTTTTTTTCTTCCTCGAGGGCGTTTCTCCAATAAGATTAAAACTATAATGATACCTTTGTTCTTGTTTCTGTTTCAGGTATATGGCTGGGGAAGGGGAGAACATGGCAGACTTGGATTTGGTGATAGTGATAAGAGCAGTAAAATGTTGCCTCAGAAGGTTCAACTTTTAGCCGGTCAAGATATTGTTCAGGTATTATCTCCATAAGCTGAATCTTTTGATCTGAGACTAACACAACTGAGATTGAAAACTGCGCGTAAAAGCTTGCTTTTCCCACCAGAGAGAAATCCAAATCCGAAGTATATAGCATATATATCATGGCTAGGAAACAATAGCCACTTTCAAAGTGGAAATGTTTTTGCCTTCACAAATAACTTCAATTGAATTACATATTTATGACTCGTTTATATTGATTTGTGGTCAGGTGTCTTGTGGAGGTACTCATTCAGTTGCATTATCCCGAGACGGACGCATATTTTCTGTATGTTGTTTTCTCACCATCTCAATTTTCTTTGCTGTATTCAGTTGCAACTTAGTTATATCGTTAGTTATATCGGTTAGCATGCAAACAGACATTACCGTGCTCATTTGGCCGTTTTTCTAACTAATTTTGATGGAACTATTGGCAGTTTGGTAGAGGTGATCATGGACGTCTTGGATATGGAAGGAAAGTCACTACTGGTCAACCAGTGGAGGTGCCTATAGACATTCCTCCTCCACAGAATCTCAGTGACGGTGAAGCCGAGGGAACTTGGATAGCCAAAATCGTCGCTTGTGGCGGCCGCCATACTTTGGCAATAGTAGAATGGAAAGAAGATGAATCTAAAGATTGAATCTAATCATAAATTGGTAAGTAGATTAGGCTAATGACTGATTTGGAATTCAGTTCGCGAGATAGAGTTCTTGTGTTATCTGCAGCGTGATGTCGGGTGTGTTTCATCGCGCAAGTGTTCATGTACAAGTTATTTCTAGGTTTGATGAGCTTTTGAAGCTAAATTTCACATAAGCTTTGAATTTGAAAAGCTATCGGATAGTTTACGAAAATAAATCGAAAATAGCTTGAGCGTGTAATATTTTCATTTTTCAATACGCTGCGTGTGAGTTTTGCAGCAATTGGATAAAATTATCGAACGGACGAACTAATGACTCTAGCTTTAAGATAAAGTGCACAAACTTGAAAAAAATTGCGAACCTATGGAATTTCTCTAGATCTTCCATGCATGATTACAATACGTAGATTGAATCACTCGACATGAATTTTACACCCATGTGTGCTCTATATTTTGCAAGGAGTTATAAAATGAGTTCTTTATCTTCATCAGGTGAATCAAAAGCTTGTTATTTTACAAATTACAGAATTTCTAAAGAGGAACAATAACTTAAACTGGATGTCACCTGTGTTTCACCACTGTCGTGCATTAGAGTAGTTTTCTGGTATAGTTTAGAATTTTACCTGCCTTTACAATAACACTTTTGCATAATTTTCACTACTTAATTTGTTATTTTTCAGAGACTTTTTAAGCTTCTACTGGATATTTATAAGTAAATGTTATTTTTTAAATTAAATTTATGCATTTATATCAACAATTTTGAATTTATACATGATTTTTCATGAATAGTATGCTTTTCTGCTAGTATTTTTGAAATGTGTGGCAAAGTCTAATTTTTTTTACATGCATTTTTTTTTGAAAATGCCAATAAAAATGGATATTGAATTTTTTTGCTTTTAAGATTTTTTTTTCTTTCTAAATGTGTTTAGTAAAAAAAATGACAGGATATTTTTGATAATACAAAAATATGAAGGGGTGCCGGGTATAACTCTACGACTGTCAAATAAAATTCTCACATTATGCTCATGCATCTATATCTATAGATAAACGGAATAAATTATAAAATTCTCACATTATGCTCATGCATCTATAGCTATAGATAAACAGAATAAGAGAATATAGATTGAGAATTTTTTACCCCATCTTTTGGTATTTTTACGCATCATGCGCATTTTTAAAAATGTTCACAGCTTCTAAAATATATTTTTGAACGCATCTTTTTTCAGTTTTTATTTTATTTTATTCCGTAAATGTATCTACGAAAGACTTTTTTATTCATATTTACGGAAAAAATTCAGAAACAAAATACCGTAAAATTAACATTGCAACAATAAAATCGATATTCATAAAATAAAATCGGTGTTACATTGATAATTTTGACAGAAATTTAAGTATTACATCTCAATAGCCCGGTGAAAAAAAGGTTTTCGAAAATCTATACCGCGTCAAGTCAATGCACACCCTATCATATGCACATGCAATAAGATGACCCATATCAAGGAAGGTCATCCATTTCAACACCAGTGTCGGACCACTCACGCAAGGAACAAGAGATTCATAAACCACATCAAATTTTTTTTTCTTTCCATACAACCGCGTATATGATTCTTTATGCGTCTTCAACTCTTGGTTTAGTTGATGACGGACAAGCGAATGACTATCATGTCCTTTACCAAGCAAAGCTGAAACGGCTCGGTAACCGCAGTTACCATCCCCTTCAACATTGACGATACGGTCGATGCATTTATGCATAAAAACTGGTATCTCGTCGATGAATGAAAATTTTGGTGGAATCGGGGTCGGAGGCGGTTTGCTTATGCTGGCTCCTTTTATGACACTTTTTTGAGATTTAGGAGTTGGTGAGGCAGAATAAAGTTTGTCAACATGCTCAAAATAAGAAGGAGACCGTGTAGTCGAGTTATCATTCGGCGTAGGCTTTATTTTTTTCGGAGCACCTTTTGTCTTTACCGATTAAGAAGGCGGTTTCATCTCGGGATAGAAAGTCTTCCTCAATTGTTCTTTGATGTGGAGTTTCATGTTGTCATCGGCCTTTGAGAATATCTCTTGTATCGTTACCATTTGGTCAAAATAGAGATATTCGGTTTACCTCCTTCCATGCAACCATCATCATCAAAACTAAGTCTTTTTCAATGAGGAAAAACTTCGTCCATTCTTATTGGCTCACCTAGTTTCAGTTTTTTTAGCAATAACACAAGCACACGGAAGACCATAGGTTTTTACAATAGTGCAACCATACTTTGCGCTATCGGAACCTACAGTTTCAGCTCGTTTGACCTCGTGAAAAAGATAGTTCAACCCCGGCCGAGACATTTTACCGATCAATTGAGTTTCACAATAGTGCAACCACATTTTGCGCTATCGGAATCTACAGTTTCTTATTGCTACTCAACATGTAACCACGAAGCTCGTTTGACCATAGGTTTTCACAATAGTGCAACCACACTTTGCGCTATCGGAACCTACAGTTTCTTATTGCCACTCAACATGTAACCACAAAGCTTAAACGGACACTCATATTTTCTACTACCAGTGTCTTCTCTCTTAAATTTCCGAAGAGGAATTTGATATTTACCGCTTCTTTCGTACAACAAAGTAACAAAAGCGTTTCTTATTTCCGAACCATTATCAGATCTTCCTATAACCACACCAAAACCAAGTCTTGTTACAGTCCTACGAATCCATGTGAGTATGCTTTCACGATCATCAAACTCTTGCTTGTTATTAAAGTCAACGCCGACATCTACCGACTTTACGACAACCCATTGAACATTCAGAGAAACATCGTTTGAAGGAAATAATTCTTTTGAGATGTTATCTGTAACACCCATTTTAATTATTTTTATTTTCGGTGTTATTTTCATTTTCGGCGTGCTTGCGTGGATTTTGGTTGAGGAGTAAGTTCCATAATACTAGAAAATATGATTAATGATGATAATAATATGATAATTAGTAAGGTGTTACTATTATTAATATTATTGTTATTATTATCATATTAAATATTATTATTGGAAAAATATTTGGAATTAATTGTAGTTTTTGGAAATAAAATAAATATGAGAATTATTTATTTATTTGGAATAAAAGTGTAATATTTGGGATGAAGGGCAGAGTTGGCATTTGGAAAAAGAATAGAGAAAGAGTGGAAGGAAGAACACGAGAAAGAGGAGAAAGCACGGTTTGGGAAGAGCAAGCAAGATCAAGAGCTGATGATTGAGCAAGAAGAATTTTCGTGTAGATTGTGAAGCTCCATCATCATCAGAATTTCATTTGAGGTAAGGGGGGGAGGGGAATTGATCGATTGAATTGGTATTTGCATGAGTAATTGGTAGAAAAGGGAAATTCCCTAATCCCCACAATTGGTGATGAATTGATGTTGTTTGTTTGTTGTTGATTCTGTTATGGTTGTTGTTTTTGTGATAGAATTCATTGCATGAGATGTAGAGTAGTTGTTTGAGTGAATTGGGGTTTCCGGGTAGTTCGAAGTTATGCCGGAACTGAGCAATTGTGTAGAACTATTAATTAATCGGGTTAAATCGGGGATAGATGATATAGTAGGTTGTGGAACAATGGTCTGGTATGATGGGGTTTGGCTTGGAATAGAATCGGCTGAGTTCGGAGCGACTTGCCGACTCTGAGCAGTGACTTTATTTTTTTCTGAGAACGCAGGTATTCGCTGGGCGAATGAGGGGGCGAGCCTTCGCCAGGCGAACTGGGCAGCGAATGCTGCCAGTAGCCTCTGTTTGGTTTCGCCAAGGGTTTCGCCGGGCGAATGGTCAGCGAGTGTTCGCTGCGGGGCTTCGCCAGGCGAATGCGCCAGCGAGCCCGACAGCAGTTTGTGTTTTGCCGCTGTTCTGTGTTGATTTCTTTGTGGTTTGGACCCTTGTTGGTCATGTTTGGTGATGAGCTTATTAGTGAGCTGTGGTGAGTGTATGTATGGTGTCGGGACGTGATTCTGTGGTATCCGTGTGATTTTGATAATTGAATTGGTGTATGTTATGATGTATGTCTGTGGTGATGGATGAGGCATGTTCGATATATGATAAATTGTGATCAGTAGGATCGATACGCTTTATATGCGTTGCGTTTATATGCTGTTGTGATGAGTGGATCAGTAGGATCAATACGCCTTGTGTGCATTGTATTGATGTGTTGTGTGAGGATTGGATCAGTAGGATCGAATGCCCTTTGTGTGCTTGGTGTGTATGCATTATATGATGCGATGGATCAGTAGGATCGTGTGCATTGCGAGTTCGGTGTTGTTGTGCATGGTGTCTGCATAGCATGTGGACATGGTGAATCATTGCTCGGTGGAGTGTATGTGATTCACTCACATGCTCCAATTGGGGAGCGTGGATGGGACTTGAATCGTTGCTCGGATGGAGTGTATGTGATCACCCGTGTTCCAAGTGGGGAACGTTGGTAGGGATAGATCGTTGCTCGGATAGAGTGTATGCGATCTATCCTGAGATTTGATTATATGGGCTCAGGAGGAGCGTGGTAGGGATAGATCGTTGCTCAGATGGGGTGTACACGATCTATCCTGAGTTGAGTCAGTACCGCATATTGTTGAGTCGAGTTGCATGTGTTGCATTTGTTGTATGTGTGTTGTGTTGGCATGGGACAGTAGGTCCGGATTCGATGTGTATGAAATGATGTTTATGTGTTTCTACCTTTTATTTCATGTGCATTTATACCGTTAATATTTGATCGTGATTTCTCACCCCTTTGTTGTTGTGGTCTGTGCTTCTTCGGATGTACAGACAATCCAGGTGTTTAGCTAGCTTGGATTGTGGCGATGTCGTAGGGACTGCTCTGATACGTAACACTGAGGCTTTTGGGAGTATTTGTGTTTAGTTGATGTTTTGTGTGCCCCTGTGGCGTATCTTGTTTTTTTTTACTACGAGGATGATATTTTGTATATTTTGGGCAGATGGCCGACTGGTTGTACATGATGATGTTGGTGATGTATATATATACATGCT